CTTGCTCTGAGTTCTGATAATTAAGTATCCTTTAACATATTCTTTTTACAAAATGCCAAATTTCATAAAACTAGCCGCAGAATTTCAAAAAACAAACAACTTCAGTGTTTCCACTCTTGAAATGTGCAGAATTACCTCAGGAATCAGAAAAGTGTCACTGCACATTCATGTTCAATGACATTATTTTATGAAAGATATAATAATTATTTTCATTGGAAATCAGAGTTAAACACACTGTTAGCAAACATGCACGAACAACCATGTACTGTGGAATACTTTATTTTCGCTGGAATTAATTTTCGCTGAAAAGGCATTTTGAGCGTTTTGTATGGAATTTATTTTCACTGATTTTTGATGAGTTTAATGTGAAATATAGAAAAAAATGTATATTCTGGATTTTATTTTCACGGAATCATCCCTTCAGTGAAAATAGCGAAAATAAATTCCAAGCGAAAATAAAGTATTACGACAGACCCCCACACCTTCCCCGTGGCTTTCGTTGCGTATGGAAGTTATTTTCACGAGTGATGCGGTGTATCCTGCGGCCGTACTTTCGCGAGCGAAGCGAGTGAAAGTACAGCAGAATACACCGCATCTCGTTCGACGCGCGTCTTTCATGCATCTCGCAAGATCTTGCAGTTGAACGGAAAATCACCTGTAGCTTAATGCTCAAAATTTGAAGGGAATACAACATGTTGCCGACAATATAACTTCAACTAGCATAACCTGATATAATTAGATACACAAAAACAAAGAAAGTAATCCATGACAACCATATCAATAAAAAAATTAGCATTGTAATAAATTGTCTAAAACTTGAATTTGTAATAATTATATCCATATATTTTTACACAACCCATACTCTGTTGTATTATGTTGCAACATTACACAAAAAAACTAAAGAAAAAAAAACTACATGACAAACATATCTGTAAAAACGCAGTTCTAAAATATGTACTTGCACACTAATGAAGTGAAAACAGAAAAAATAGTAATTACATGAAAACTGATAACTGGATTTATTTCTGCCGCAGAATGTTTGAAGGACGATAGTTGTTGCGCCATGTCCTGTTCAATGTGGGACTCACAGCAATATATGTAACGTGTGTAAAATACATTGTTTGTTTACATTTAATTAGAACTCGTGCTGCACGACGACTGTCACCGTTTAAGCGATATATTTTCCTCCACTTAAGTTTTGATGCTCTGCGATTTGATAATTTTATGACTTATGTAAAAACAAAATTTTACTGACATGCTTATCATGGGACTTCACAGAAGTTATCAATGATAACAAAATTTCAGGCCTCATGAAAAATTTAATTGTCTCTTATTTATTATCTCCTGGTTACAGTAGTAAAGTGTATAATAATAAAAGTTATCATTTTATCTTTAAAAAAAAATTTGAATATAAAAACTTTAAGATGCTGTAACAATATTAATAAACCAGATCAATGTTTTATTTCTGTTATGCTGGGTCAAATATATGAACTAATATTTGTTCTATTAAAAGAGCATGTGCTTATAAATACAAATGACAGAAAAGTCTACAGTCAAATTAAGTCATATTGTATGCATCTTATTAGAATACAATACATAGTGATATACAGGTCAAAGGTCAGATATCTCCATAGCAACACATTTTTCAGGCAATGTAATGTAACTAAAGAAAAAAACAAATAAAGTTAAAATAATTATTTGCAAACTTATACAATCAAAAACAAATTTGTCTGCACATTTTACTTATATTCTTCAATATTTCTGGGAATGAACCCTATTTTTGGAGTCAACAGACAAAATTTGAATCAATTTTCAGTTTGTACTCAAAAAATGTGGCTATTTTTGTCCCAATCTTCTAAAGGAAAGTGCGGACTATAAACGGAGTTTGTAGTTTTAATGTCCTTTTTTATGCAAATTGTAATATTTATCTGTTCATGTCACCATAGACTTATTCCCTCATTCTACAAACACTTTGATACATTTATTGATGGAATCCACCACAGCTATTTTGCAGGGTACTTCATTAGATACAGCTATCCCATCATATGTAATTTCAGAAATACGAGGGAAAACTGAATATATGTCGTTTTCTCCTTCCTCGTTATCTTGTTTGTGAATACTACAAATCACCTGACCATATCTGTCATATTTTGTAATTATATTATATCCCAGTGTGTATAAACAATCATTCTTATCGATTGCCACTCCATTCAGCAAACCTCGAGTAAGACTAATCTTATACATGAATACGTTTTTCTTATTGAATACTTGAATACATGTATTAACTGCTACACATACTACCCCGTGGCTATTAATAGCTACATTTAATTAAGGAGTGAATTATTACATTGGTTCCAACTGAATGTCAAATGAGTTGATGTACTTCCCATCTTGTGTGTACTTTCTAATACATTTCTTATTCTTATCACTCACATAAACATTCTTAGTGACAGGATTAATTGCAATTCTACCAGGATTATTAACTTCACTGGTTCTAAATTTTCTGATCAACTTTCCGTTTTCATCACTTACAACTACTTGTTTGTTATTTTTGTCTGTCATGAAGTATTCATTATCATCTGATATTGCTACATCCTGTGGTCCGAAAGGCTTTGCTAACTGATCAGTGAATGTAAATGACTGTTTGTAATTTCCGTCTCTGTCATGGATGGTCACTCTGTTGTTCCCTGGATCAGCTGTGACAAAGTCACCATGTTTGTTGATGGTTATCCCGCTCAGTCTTTCGCTGTCTGGTGTTTCTACTGTCTGTACCAGTCCCCTGATGACAGGAATATGGATTGGCGATCCAGATAAATGTTGGTTATCAATCATCACCTCCAGATTTGA